AACGGCCATAAAAACCTTATATATGCACGAAAAAATACGAATTATGGCTTCTTGTGATAGTCCTGATGTGTAAATTCAGAAAATACAAATACATTACGTAAAAACAGCCTTTAATGTATTTTGGCCATTTATTTTCATTAGCTTCTCACGTCAAAACCAGACGTCCTCATGACTCCAGAAGCATCTCATATTAAACATCCTGATTTGTGAAAAATTTCACAACTGATCATTTGTCCATATATCGCGTGTAAACCCATAAAAAACACATTGAAAAAGTAGCGTTTTAAGGAGGACCGGACAGATAGTTCTTAAGGTGGACCAACAATATGTAGCCCAAATACACACATTTTAATAATTCCATTCATCATACATGCATTTAAACTGGTTAAAACTGACCAAGATGACTTGTGATGGTCAAGCAAGGACCTTTCACACCTTCATATACCCCTCAGACACTGACATTGATTTGTTAAAATTGTTGATTGTTAAAAATTCACAAGTCATATTTTAAGAGTTATGACTGATTGAAGGCCCTAATAATTACCAAGATGACCTCAGACTGACCAAACCAAAAAATTCACACCTTTATCTACCCTATAAGGACTCACTCTGATTTGTGAAAGTTTTCACAAGTCATATTTTATGAGTTATGAGTCTTATGACTGATTAAAGTAGGTAGTATTAATGGTGGCTTAAGGTCTCAACCTAGGTGCATTTAAAGGGGTTAAAAATGACCAAGATGACCTCTGACTGGCCAAATCAAAACTTTCACACCTTCACCTACCCTAGAAGGACTCACCCTGATTTGTGAAAACTTTTTTTATGGCAGTTTGCAACGTGAAAAACGAACCGCAAACTAACTTTACCAACGTTTTACACGGTAACCTTTACATAGCCTATACTTCTTCAAATAGTCATGAAAACAAAATTAGATTTTCGAATAAAAATGAGTAGATGTCTGTGGCTTTTGGGTAGTGGCTTTAAAACTATATGCCGATACGACAGCTGTGTTGGTAGACTACAGGTCAAGCCTTCATGCATTGTACATTTTTCTGATACTATATAGTATAACCATTAAACAACGCACTTTGTCACAATTTTAATCGCATTTAAATTTAGGCTTAAAAACCTCGTATTTACTCTGTCGGTATATTACTGATATTTCTTAAATGTACAATTTTTGTTAAATTACAGCAGCTTATACTACGGGACCGTTGAATGCTTGAATCTGATTGGCTGACGAACCTTCTGAGGTGTGCAATTATTTTCAGGGAAACGCACGGCGAACGTAGTTCCAGGCAGCTCTCTTGACCG